TTGTAATTATGAAACGAAAATACCGTTTTTTTGTTTCAAATAGAAAAACCAAATAACCGTTTTTTGTGTCAGAATCAAAAAACCAATTAAAAACTGCCCGTTTTTCGTTTTTTGGGGATCATTTTATCGTTATTCCTTATTGAACAAAGAATGAATTGAGTCTTGAACTTCTGTCATTGGTTTTATAGACCATTTCAAAAGATGTAAACAACACTGGTCCAGAAGCACTTCCTGTTTCAGTTTGTAACTGTTTTCTTTATTTCACATGTAAACACATCTTAAAGATGTTTGTTTAACTTTTTGATTCAGTTTTATATGTTCTGTTGGTTGTATTTTATCCCAGCTTTTATGTAGTGTTAAAAAACTGAAACAGGAAGTGCTTCTGGACCAGTGTTGTTTACATCTTGTGAAATGGTCAGCGAATGTACCCGGAAAAACTTTCAAAATAAAAGTAACTATAGTTAGCGAGGTGATGGTAGACTAAAACTGAACTAATATAACTTTTTTTAGTACAACTAAACTAGCACTGGGTGTGAAAAACACTTTAGTTAACTAAAATAAAAATGAAAATTAATAAAATAATAGCTCTGGTTGTTAGGGATAATTAAACATTTGTAAGACCATTGGTGAATAGGGCCTACAGCTATGTATGCTATGAGCAGGGCTCTGCATTGCAACTCTTTCAATAGCATATATGGCCTAACATGTTTTACAAGCATAGTGGGTGAGTGAAGACTAAAAACCTAAATGTTATAAGGTTATATTATACTTTGATACATTAGTTCCTCTTCCAGGTTGTGGTTATTAGCCTCTGCAGTGGACAGATGTAGATTTAGCCAGAGCCAGGATGTCACTGTGCAAAAACAGCCTCCTCCTGAGAGCAACACATTCCCCTTGTAGTGTTTTACATCTGCTTTACTGAAGTTAAAGATAATAAATAATGCTCTCCAATCTTTTTTACATAAAGTGTGGTGTTGGTTGTGTGTGCAAGTGAAAGAGTTGCAAATTGCAATGCAGAGCCATGCTTCACTGTACTGTTGTACAATATGATGTACATTTGTAATTAAAGTCATAAGCTGACATCACCCAATTCCACAAAAGTAGTGCCACAAAATCCACAAAGATGTGGCTTAACATATACCATACATATCTGAAAGTGACAACAAGGCCCCATTTATGGTGCCGGAGGAAGGAGTGGTGTTCTACTTTGTCCTGCCTGTCCAGCATTTATTTGAAGAGAGAGTGACGGTAGGTGAAGGGGCCAGTCCTGCTACTATCATCAGTCCTTAACCCTGCACACAGTGCACAGGCTCACATTCTCCAGGACAGGTATTGGGGAAACTCTGGGAGGCCCTGACACGAGTACCAGGGAGAAAACCTAAAAGCTAAAAAACTAAAAGTAAAAAACTAAACACTTTTATTTTACTTTACACAAGTACCAAAAGTACAGAGCACTGCCTTTACCCGGTGGTTCACCAAACAGAATTAAACCCCCAAAAAGCGCTAAAAGATCTGAAAGTCCCAGCTCATTTTTGACCGAGTAATGCTGGGTTTCACACACAAGTAGGTCTACATAACTAATGAGAACTACAAGCTGCATTAACCCTTGTGCATCCTTATGGACATTTTTGTTCTTTTCAGTTTTTTTTAATCACTTTACCTGTGTTAATGCTAATTTGGCACAGGTGTGTATTTTTTATGGAATTTTACAATTTCCCCACCATTTTCTTAAAAAAAAAAAGTAATAATTTTGCATTAGGTACACAAAATACTCCCTATCAGCGCCTCTTGGACAAAAATGTTCCCATTGAAACCCATTGAAACCGCAATTTTTAATCCCAGGGTCATTTAACTATAAAATGATGCAATCTTTGTTAAGAGGCTTTTATTCTGTTGACAAGGCTCCAAAATTTTTATTTTTACAATTTTTTTTTTTTACCAGATGGTGCCAGTTGTCCAGGTTTGGCCTATAAAACAAATGTTGCTTTATTCCTGTTTTCTGCTTATTAACGATAATTGTGTGGGTGGATGTCAGAGTGTGGTTTGTATGTGTGTAATAAATTTTTTTGTGTGTGTATATGTGTTTGTGTACTTGTAATATTTGAGAGAGAAAAACTCAAATTTGCAAATCTAAAATCCAATTACTGTGTGCACCAGTGGAGTTTTGCTGGCACCCAATGGGGAAAATCTTATACTGCACCCAAACAAACTCTTACCGAAAGCTCTTTTTTTTTTTTTTAGATTGGCCTATCCAACTCAAATTTGGAACACAACCTATTCAGATTCATGGCTTTGATTTTCTTGCAGTTTTAGAGTTCAACCTGATTTATAAAATATATATTTTATAAATCATATTTTTTTTATAAATAATTTTCATAAACTATACCTATATAACTTTTTTTTGGGATTTACTACTTGAAGAGTTCAGATGCAAAAGCCTCTAAGTGCCATTTGAAATTTTGTTCTAGAATGACCATTTTTATCAAGCTTGTGTATTTAAGTTCAGTAATTCCACTTAAATGACAATTAATAGGTAATCTTCATTGCCATTTAAGTGAAATTACTGAACATAAATATACAGGCTTGATAAAAATGATAATTTTAGAAGAAAATTTCAAATGGCACTTAGAGGCTTTTGCATCTGAACTCTTCACTTATTATTTTAATTAAGCTTTAGTTTACTTCAGCAATAATCTGCCATGGGTCTTCTTTAAAATGATACCAACTTAAGTCTGTGCTCCAAGCTTCACATTTGTATGACAGTTTTTTGACACGGACATTTTTGTCCTCTATATAATTGATGCACAAGGGTTAAAAATATATAATCTACTTAACTAACATAATAATATTACACTGGAGAAAAATGCAAAGGAAAAATAAAAAGCTTTCTAGATTTGTTTTGGAAGAGTTTTGTTTTGACACAGAAGGGGTAACAGTAGATGGTGGAAGCTGAGAGTTTTTAGCAGCTATAGTATAGTATAGCGATAGAAAAGGGAGCTGGAAGGCAGGTGAAGTTCATTTTTTTATTTAAAAAAATATGATTTATGAAATATATATTTTATAAATTATGTTTTTGCACAGTGACATCCTGGCTCTGGCTAAATCTACATCTGTCCACTGCAGAGGCTAATAACCACAACCTGGAGGAGGAACTATAAATGTATAAAAGCCCTGCAAACAAGCCTGCACTGGCCCTGTCCGGGCCCACTTAGGGCTAGCCTAAGTGCCCCCTGCAGGCTGCTAGCGCAGGGCCCATGAGAATTTGCTCATTGGCAAAACGTTGGGCCTGCATGGGCAGCCCTCACTTAGCCCTCACTAAACCCACACAGGGCCCGCACACTGGGCCCACAAAACGTTGGCCCTGCATGGGCAGCCCTCACTTAGCCCCAAGGAATCCCTCACTAAGCCCACACAGGGCCCGCAACGCACACACAGGGCATCTACAACAATAGATCTAGTTCACAATTAATCTGTTTCACTATAAATACTTTTTGGCTAATATAACTATAAGTCTTTGGGAAAAACAATTATTCTATACATCTGAATGCAGTCACCACATAACTAATTTCTGTATTTTCACAAATGTACAGAAGTCAAAGGGATTTCAAATCAATGTATTTATTAATTACAAAACATAAAACATTAAATTTAGGTTATTATATATAATATAATTACACTATTATATATTCACATAAAAAAACAGAAACATAGAAAACAGCTGTTTTACATTATGATAAAATTTCACAATATTACTGTTTTTTTTTTTTAAATAAATGCAAGCTTGATAAGCAGAATAGACTTCTTCCAAAATGTTTCCAAATTTTTTACCTGTATACTGTATATGATTTTATACAAAATAAATAGTAGTTAATAAGATTGACACTGTATTATATCTAGTAATATTGAAGCTAAACAGAGTCCCTATAACAGTGCAATTTGTAGATTTTTAGTCTTCGAGAAAATGTTTTATGAGTTGCAAACCTCTTTTTCTTTGCTTTCTCTCTCTCACAAACACAACACATCAGTTACACAAAACATCAGTTAAATTCTTCATTGCAGGTGCACAAATCCTATTCTAAAAATTACCAAACTCATAGGGTCATATTTTTGTTGATAAACAGTAACATTTTGGCCAATTATGCACATTTCTTGGTGTATAATTTTGTGAATCATCTATACTGTTTGGCTATTCTCATGTGGTCACACTTCACTTTTCATTCACAGTCACATATGCTCAAACCCTGTGTGGCCGTGCCTTAAATGTCAGCATACATTTCTTACACGGCTGTGCAAAAGTTAATTGCGATTAATCGCATTCAAAATAAAAGTCTGTGTTTACATAATATATTTGTGTGTGCTGTATATAATTATTTTGTATTAGGGCTGTGAAACGATTAATCGCATCCAAAATAAAAGTTTGTGTTCACATAAATTATATACGTTTGTGTAGTGTGTATAATTATTTTGTATATATAAATACACACACATGCATGTATATATTTAAGAAATATTTGCATGTTTGTACTGTATATATGTTTATACAAAATTAATATTATACATAAATATAAATCTTTGATATATCAATAACACATTTTTCTTAAATATATACATGCATATGTGTGTATTTATATATACAAAATAATTATACAGACATATATCATGTAAACACAAACTTTTATTTTTGATGCAATTAATCGTTACACAGCCCTATATTGTATATATAAATACACACACATGCATGTATATATTTAAGAAAATGTGTTATTCATATATAAAATATTTATATTTATATAATATAGATTATGTATTCATATATATATATATATATATATACAGAATTTAAGTGCAAATAATTCTTAAATATATACATGCATGCATAGGTATTTATATATACAAAATAATTATATACAGCACACACAAATATATTATGTAAACACAGACTTTTATTTGGATGCGATTAATTGCAATTAATTTTTGCACAGCCCTTTTTGTGATTTGAAAAAAAGAAAATTATTTGTACACCTCCAATGAAGAATTTGAAAAGCTGTAACTGCAGTGTTTTTTGTGAAAGAGAAAAAAGTTTGAAACTTAAAAAAAAAAAAACGTTCTCTCTGTGACTACTTTACACCTGACTACTTTTAACTGACTACGTTACACCTACAGATTCCACTGTCACAGGTGCTCTGTTTTGCTATAATGAAACCTTTACAGAACATGATAGTAATCCGCCATCCATGTAAAAGCAGAGGTCGGTGTGGTGTACAGGTACATCTGTCCAGCCAACATCTCACGCCTTGATGCCTTCCACTGTGGATCCCAGAAAACCTGCAAAAAAAATAAAATAAAAAATACAGTTCAAAATCTATCATACATAATCATACATCTGGTATCACAAATTATTCCAGGTTATTATAACAATTCCAGGTTCAATCAGGTTAAATGCTCAATATTAGAGCTGCACAATACTAAAAACCTTAAATAAAATATTTTGTTTATCTGCTGCTATATATATATATTGCGATATAAAAACAAATTTCAAGAGATTATTGAGTGAATCTGCATTGAAAATTATAACAAATTACAAGTATTGATAAATTCAATAGAAGAAAAATACAATTGAAATAAGCAGTGCATGAAGTTTTTTCGGAAAATCTAACTTATCAGGTACGGAAATTGAATTATCTAATGTAAAATAAGTCTTCACTGAGGTACAGCCTCTCTCTACTCTTACAAAATGACAAACAACCAGCCTGAAAAACACATGACAATGACACAAGATAATGTCTATAATAAATAGTGTGTGTAATTTCTTCAGTACCGTCAGCAGAACTGATAACATCTGAGCTTATCGATACTGCAGTCTTCCTTAATTTGGCCCCAGGGCCCCTTTAATGTTTAATACCGGGTTTCGGAACCTATTCCTACATATGGGTGAGTTCATATGGATGAAGGCCTGTTGTGTTTGGCCTCTTGGTTTGTGATGGTGATATAGCTATTGTGAAACTCACCTTCGTCATGTACTGGGTGTGGATGGCATCAAGATCTTGTCCTGGAGAATCACAGGATCAAATGATATCTCATCTGGTAACAAGAGCACAGCCATAACCCCCTGAATTCAGCATTTGAAAGTAAAAAGAATTTCAGTATTTATCAGTCAAAAAATAGCTTTGAGTTGGACAGTATGGTGTCTCATTGGCCAACATAATTAAAAACACACCCAGAGAAAAAATAAAATAAAAAAATAATATATATATATATATATATATATATATATATATATATATATATTAGGGCTGTGCAAAAGTTAATTGCGATTAATCGCATCCAAAATAAAAGTCTGTTTTACATAATATATTTGAGTGTGCTGTATATAATTATTTTGTATATATAAATACCTATGCATGCATGTATATATTTAAGAATTATTTGCGCTTAAATTCTGTATATACATATAAATACATAATCTATATTATATAAATATAAATATTTTATATAGGAATAACACATTTTCTTAAACGTATACATGCATGTGTGTGCATTTATATATACAAAATAATTATATACAGCACACACAAATATATTATGTAAACACAGACTTTTATTTTGGATGCGATTAATCGCAATTAACTTTTGCACAGCCCTAATATATATATATATATATATATACTGAATATATATATATATATATATATATATACCCATGACTATTATCCTGAATTATTATAACTATGACTATTATAACATTATATTTGCCACCTATTATTTAGCTTCTCAAGTGCAATGTCACTGAAAAAAACTGTAGTTAATGAATTTAAAGTGAGAGACTTCATTCAAAATCATAAATCCTACAGACCCACAACAATTAAACAGTATGTATGAAGTTTTGCTTACTATAGTCGAGGTCATAGCCGTGGAGATTGTCTTGGACCCCAGGGGGTGCAGCAGGACATCTATGATGATCTTCAAGAAAATAACATGCAATGTGTCACAGAGCCAACAATATTACATTGAATTTACAAACAAAGGGTTTAATACAAGGAAGCAAGCTAGAGCACAGCTAAAGAATATACATAAAAAATCTTAAGGTAATATATTGTGCAATAATGATTATGAAATAATTATCATGATTAAACAATAATGGGCTCTATGCACGGCGTTATTTCCGGTGAAGGTGTAAGGATGCTCGATAACTTCCGCCGATCACAGAGTCCAATGCAATAGCGAGAATTTATATTGAATTTTATACTCCATGGTTATACTAAAGAAACGTTAGTCACAAAAACAGATAAAACAGACACCCCTCGTTGTGTTTATGCTTCTTTTTAAAATTATATTAAATAAACATAACTATATATAAAATTACATCTAAACGTATGTACGTTTCGTTTCAAAGACGGGAGGACAGTAAATTTTGAAGACTCTGCCATAATCCCGTTTTCTCCGGTTTTCCTCCGCTTTAATCTACACAACCGGAAATGGACGAGCATCCTTACGTCAAATGCGGAACTTATGCGTGCATATAGCCCATTCCCCTTTGTTGTGTTTTTTCCTGTTCCTTCTGAAATCACTTATTACCAATATTTGTAAATGACGTCATTATGTACGTTACAATGAATTCTTTCAAGGTTAAATAAATTAAATTAGCTAACTTCCAATCACCCATTGACAAATTACCAGCAAAACAAAACTATCAAAAACTGTTATCAACACAAAAATGTGGTTAAAAACCCACACTTATGTAAAACAAGAGCTCAATTGTAACGTATACTATAACCTTATAACATTTACAGTAGGTTTTAGTCTTCACTCACCCACTATGCTTGTAAAACATCTTAGGCCATATATGCTATTGAAAGAGTTGCAATGCAGAGCCTTGCTCATAGCATACATAGCTGTAGGCCCTATTCACCAATGGTCTTACAAATGTTTAATTCTCCCTAACAGCCAGAGTTATTATTTTATTTGTTTTAATTTTTATTTCAGTTAACTAAAGTCTTATTCACACCCAGTGCTACTTTAGTTGTACTAAAAAATGTTATATTAGTTCAGTTTTAGTCTACCATCACCTCGCTAACTGTAGTTACTTTTATTTTGAAAGTGTTTCCGGTTACATTCGCTTCCAAATAAGGAATGGACCACGTGACTTCCGTTTTTGGTTTATAAACGAAAAACGAATTGACAGAAGTTCAAAGACTCAATTCATTCTTTGTTCAAAAATGAATAACGATAAAATGATCGCCAAAAAACGAAAAACGGGCAGTTTTTAATTGGTTTTTCGTTTTTTGATTCTGACACCAAAAACGGTTAATTTGGTTTTTCTATATGAAACAAAAAACAGAAAAACGGTATTTTCGTTTTATAATTACAAACGAATTACGGATTATCCAGAGATCCCCTGACCCCGGACCTATAGCCTACCCTATAAACAGTTAGGGTGAAATACATGACTTAAAATGTGAAATTGCATGCTCTGCGTTTCGTTTGCTCACACACCACAAGGTGTCACTGTGCACAACCGTCTGTGCAACGCACCAGCACAAATGTTACTCAGTAACAATGCATTTTAATGCAAAAAGGTAATGCAATGATTTACAGTTTTGTTGTAGCAAATCTAAAGTATCTAAAGTATCTAAAATATCTAAAGTATATTTTTCAATAGCTTATGTTAATTCTTCAATACAAAACGTTAGATCTTGTTGTAATTCAATGCAACAGCAAAAATGTTACCTCTTCAATGCACAACGGAATGAGTTAGTTCTTACAATGCAACAAGAGCATAGCTTGTAGTTTAATTTTTCATTGCACAAGTTCGTGTGTACAATGCAATCGGGAATGAGTTTTTAGGCTCATGCAATGAGTTCCCTAAATGTTAGTTGCATATTCTTGTATCAACAAAAACATGCGTTTCAGTTGTACAACAGAATAGTTATTGCATATAGTTCAGTAAAACAGGTCATATGTTATATATCTCTTTAATCCACAACTGAAAACGTTATAGCTTTCCATGCAATAAATGCACAACAGATTAATTTATATCATGCATCCAATGATTAACCTGATGCCTTATAAAAAACCTCATTCGCTGTTCCATTGCAATCATATGTCTTTTGCTACTTCTTAAATGCACAAATTATGCGTTGTAATGTAACCACAGATGGTAGGCTTTATGGTATGTGAAATTATCCTTATTGTCTTTCACTATTTCCCTTCAAATAAACAAGTGAATGAACAATAAGTTGCAGTTACGTTTTCTTATGTCAGTAATTGGTTTGTATTTTCATTGCACAATGACAAGTTAGAATATTAATGCAACTAAACAGCAAACAATGCACAACATAATGAGTTGGTCATTGTATATAGTTCAGTGAAACATGTCATATGTTATATGTTATCTCTTTAATGCACCACTGAAAACGTTAGCTTTGCATGCAATAAATGCACAACGGATAAATTTAAATCGTGCTTGCAATGATTAACCTTCTGCATTATAAAAACCTCATTCGCATTGCAATCACATGTCTTTTGCTACTTCCTGAATGCACAATACTTCTGTATGCGTTGCAATGCAACATATGGTAGGCTTTATGGTATGCGATATATCCTTATTGTCTTTTCAATTATTTCCCATCAAATAAACAAGTGAATGAACAATTAGTTGCAATTATGTTTTCTTATGTCAGTTATTGGATTGTATTTTCATTGCACAATGGAACAAGTTAGATTTTAAATGCAACGAAACAGCAAACAAAGCACAACTTAATGACTTGGTTCTTATATGTATTGCAATTAAATGAGTATGTACATGAAGATCATGTTAAAAAATTCTCTGGTATGTATGTACAAATGGTCATTTAAAGGAGTCTATGAGTAGGCTATGTATAGAAAGTTTGAAGATTAAGCACTCTTCTGTGGTTGAAGGAACACCAAAAGAAGTCTAAGAGTTTGCATTGCAAATTATCCTTTTAAAATACTTTGGACCAAATTATGTCAATTAGATCAAATATGGACCACTGTCTTTTTGATGAAACATCAGGAGTAAATGAATACATATAGAAAGATGAAGTTCAAGGATTCTCTTTCAAAGACTCTTTGGCCAGAAATATGTCAAGTGGGTCAAATATGGACAACTGTCTGGCTGAAGAAACATCAGGAGGAGTCAGTGAGTATTTATGGAAAATTTAAGTTCAATGACTTGTTGGACAGAAATATGTTATGCAGGTAATATATGGACAACTGTCTGGCTGATGAAACATCAGAAGGAGTCAAGTCACGTCACCTTAATTTATATAGCGCTATTTACAATACAGATTGTTTCAAAGTAGCTTCACAGTGATAACATGAAAATTATACAGCAGAAGTCCATAATATTGTTGAATATTAAATGTCCCAAACTAAGCAAGCCAAATGCCAAAAGGCAACAGTGGCAAGGAACCAAAATTCCATTAGGGACAGAATGGAGAGAAAAAACTTTGTGAGAATCCAGATTCAGTCGGGGGCCAAGTAGTCCTCTGGCCAAAGAAGGAACAGTGTGTAATTCGGGTAGCATTACAAGACCAATTGGATCGAAACATTAAGAGTATTTGTCAATGATTATTTGTCAAAGAGAAAGTTCAATTTCAAAGACACTTTCGTCAGAAATATGTTAAGCAGGTCAAATATGGACATCTCTCCTGTTGAAGAAAAATCAGAAGAAGTCAATGAGAATTCATGGAGAGTTCAAGTTCAAAGACTTTTTGGCTTGAAACATGTTAAGTAGATCAAATAAGGACCACTGTCTGGCTGATGAAACATAAGAAGGAGTCAATGAGTATGTATAGAAAGTTAAAGTTCAAAGTGTCTTTGGACAAAAATATAGGTAGGTGAAATAAGGACCAATGGGAATTAAATACTTCTATAAAGGTTGCAATGCAACATTGGGCTTTATGATGTTGCACAACTTAATGAGTTAGTTCTTATATGCATTGCAATGCAACAAGAGCATAAGCTTATAGTTTAGTTCCCTTTCGAAGGGAACTCAACAATACGTCGAATGACGCTATGGGGAACGCCTCAGGCGTGACAGGTGTCTGAAATCAAATATCAACTCACAGTAATCAGGTTGACCGGCGACAGCCCGTGCATCATCAGCTTGAATGATGAGCGCGTCAATCTGGATGTATAAGAAGGGCGCCTTGAAACCGTGACAACATCTTTTTCGTCTTCAGGGACTGTTTGTCTGTGTGATAGTATCAACGATTAAGCGCGCAGAGACGTGGAGAAACACTTTGCGCGAGTGTGCCGACTTGTGTCCAGATATTTGACACCGGAGGATTCACACGATCTGTGCGTGTTCTGCCTGAAAGAAGAGCATGTGCGGGAAGCTCTCGAGGGAGTTTTTTGCGCGAACTGAGAGTTTTCCTTTCAGAACTCTCTGCTCTCGTCTGACCCACTTCTCGAGGGAAGTGGGCGCGGCATCTGAACCCCGCGGTTCCGGTTCCCGCTCGGGCTGAGGCTCAGTGGCGGTTGAGCTCGTGGAGCTTTCAGATGGAGCTGGCAGATTATCGGGAGAGGGGCGTTAACCTCGCGGATGATCTACCAGCTGACGAGGGTGAGTTACAGATTAATGTTGAACATCTAAGAAGAGAGAAAATGAGCGCTCTCTCTCTTTGGTGAATCTGTAACTGTTCTCTTTGGGCAGGGCAGGAGTTGGCTGTAATATATATATATATATATATATATATAGAAAAGGATGTCAGTTTGGTTGAGACCGAATCATTTCAGCCCTCCTGCCCAGTGTACGCTGAGCTGGTTGACATTATGGGGCGCGCCTCAGACAGATTGCTGTTGCAGTGGAGGCGCGTCTGGGAGGAACCCGCTCATGGTATTTTGGATGGCTGGTTCCTCCCCACCCATAAGCCACCAGCCCGGATGAGCCTTCCATTCGTTTCCGATCTCCACGCTGGGATCGAGAGGGTATGGAAGAATCCGTTCTCCTCACGTCTCTATCTGCATCAGCGGGCTAGTTTCGCTGCTGTGGAGGGAGCCGTGGAGAACGGATAAGTGT